CTATCTGGTTTCTGGGGTCTTAGCCATGCTCACGGTCTAGCCAAACCTATCACCCACTCCATCCCCCAAATTTAAACTGGATATGGGGATGTTGTTATTGTTCCTAGGTGTCACAGAGTCGAGTATGACTCATAGCAACCCTATCAACAATAGCTTCAAGCCTTGGGTTGCAATACTTAGAAATGCTATGGGCAAAATCTTGAATGATCCAGGGAAGAACAAAAGAAGATACAAGATATACACAGAATCACTGTACCCCCCCAAAAAAAATTGGCTGACATTGAAATATTTCAGAAAGTACCTTATGATCAAAAGCCAATGGTAAGGAAGAAAGAAGTTCAAGCTGTACTGAAGGCATGCTAAAAATCAAGGCCCCAGGAATCAACGTGATACCAACTGACATGTTTCAAATGACAGGTGCGGCCCTGGACATGCTCACTCATCTATGCCAGGAAATTGGAGGACAGCTGTCTGACCGACTGGAAAGATCCGTATTTGTTTCCATTCCCAAAAAAAGGTGATCCAACAGAATGTGGGATTTATCAGACAATATCATTAATATCACATGCAAGCAAAATACTGCTGAAGATCACTTAAAACTTGATATGAGGGTGGGAGTAGGAGAAAGGAGACAAGTATAAAGGCAGGAAGGGCCACTGTGGAAGAGCTTGATCCAGTGGAGAAAGTTCTGAATGTGGATAGAGTTGGTGCCGAGTGTCTAGACGTAGAGTTGGCCTCATTCATAAGTGGAGTGTATGACCCACACCACACCCTCTCATATTTCAATGATTAGGCAAGGATTGAAAACTTAAAAAAAAAAACAAAACAACTTCACAGGTTTGTGTTGGTTTTTTTTTTTTTAAATTTGTACATTTTCCAGGGAACAACCCTGTTGCCTTCCCACCTCCCTCTTCCACCAGTCTCCCAGTCCTTGGGTCCCCATGTCAGCCCAAGGAGCATTAGGGACTAGAGGTGGTTAAGTCCTCAGGCAGTGCACTATGACCAACCCAGAGGGGTGACCTTATTCTGCCCAGGGCCTGGACAATGACAGCAGCTGTTTGACCCTGGGAAGCCTACTGTCAGTGGGGACTGAGGACCATCAGCCCCAGGAGTGGCTTCTGTGCATTGGAGGTCACAGAATGGCTTCCACTGACCCCTGGAGCCCTCGACTCCAGAACAGCTGGGGGCGGGGGGGAAGCAAGCCAGAGAGGAGGGCCTGGGCAGGGAGCAGTTCCCACTATGTTGTGGAGAGCAAGGTCCAGAGGGGCTGGCAACACTGCCAAGTGCCCGTATAGACACTACGGGCAGTACATAGGGAAGGCCAGAAGACTGAGGAGGAGGGTGAAGCCTGAGAGGCCCAGCTTGGCGGTCAGGGGAAAGAAGGGGCGGTACTGGATCTGGCAGAGCAGTAGAAGCATGAGAAGCAGCAAAGGCAGCAGTAGACTGCCTATTTTCAGACCAGACGGGCCTGGCGCCCACCCAGGTGGGGAGGGAGGATATGAGGGACCAACTCGTGTGGACACCTGGCAGTGGAGAACGCAGTTGGGAGGGAGGTGAAGGACGCCCAGGGTTTGCAAATCGTCTCCTAGAAGTTGCCCTTGGTAGATGAGTCGAACTTGCTGTTCCTGGCCAGGGGTGGAATCAGGAGACAACAGAAGTTTAGAGGCTCGCTGGCCAGAGAGCCAGCCCCTCATGGATTCTTTGTGCCTCTTCAGCTTGGTAGCACAGCGGCAAGGTGGGTGCCATGACTCTCATTCAAGGGGTGGGTGATGAGGTGACTGTTCTTTTTGCGGTGCTTGCCTGCCTCCTGGTCCTGGCTCTTGCCTGGGTCTCAACACACACCACTGAGAAATCTGATCCACTGCCCCAGTCGTCGGAACCCCATCTGCAGCCCAGTCCAGCAAAGCCATGGCAGCCACCGAGAGCATGAGAAGGGTGGCCCCTGAAGCTGAGGCCTCTAGCCTGAGACACAGAGGTCAGACTGCACAGCCAAAGCCTGGCAACACCACCACCACCAGACCTCATTCTTCGGCTGAAATTCCTCAGTGGCTCAGAGTAGGTTGCCAGAGTTTGGCCCCAGGACACCATTGGCCCACTAAAAAGGACTGAAAACTTTTAAAAAGAGAAACCAGGAGAAGCCTATGTTACCTAATGTTACACTATGGAGTATATTCCTTCCTAGATGTTCACTTTCCTTGAGGAGAGCAGCTAGTGCTTAAATAGAAAGGGGAGAGGGCTTATAGGTGACATGATAGAGGAGGCACACATTACAACTTCAACCAGTTCTGGCCCTGCCTAGCACCCTCAGAAATCTATGGCAGTGGTTTCTCACTTAATTTCAGCACATGGCCTACAAAGAGATCTCAAAATTACCTGGTATCTATTTAGGCACTGCTCTACCAGACCACTGAACACACTCACTGCAAGCCTGTGATGTGGGAATCAACGGAAGAGTTCATACTAAGTCAACTCCTCCTTTTTTCCTATCCAGCTGTTGAACAGATGGAGGAGGCTATGCCTAGACCAGTGGTGTGTCAAGGTTTAAAGTGCACAGAAATCACAAGGGGATCTTATTAGAATGCATATTTTGGGGAGGGGGGGAGAATGTATATTCAGATCCTTCAGGTCTGTGGTGGAGCTCAGATTTCCATTTCTAACAAGATACCAGGTGATGAAGAGGCTGCCAGTTGGGAGACGCCCTTTATTCCAGCCTTCCCAGGCTCCAGGACAGTGAGCTGCCTCTTCGTAATCTAGGAAGTATTGAACAAATATGAAGCAGTTGTATTAAGCTTTCTTTTGATTAAGCTGGTAACTAAAACTAGAATGGATATATGAACAAATTCATTTACTGAAGATGGTAGCTGGCCATTGACAACAACAATAAAGACTGAGGGTATATTTCTCATACTCTCAGCTGTTTGTTAATCACTCGACACATAAAACATCTTGAAAACATCTCACTGCCCAGGAAAAATGACCTGAAGCTATGCTGGGTTAATTATTACCACAGATATTAATACTTCTTCACAGTTCAGCTAATTTCTTCATTATCACATTGTTTTACAATATCATAAACTATTAAAGCTATTTCTTAATTTTCCAAAAGTCTGAGGTTGATCAGAGAAGTAGTTCAACTTGTTCAAAATCTCTCATCTAGTTAGTCACTTGACCAGTAGCAGGTTCTTTTTCCACTATACAGAATCATTAAAATGGCAACTGAACAAGGGAAAGATCTTTAGTTCATAAGTCACAAATGGCCTACATTTCCTGCTGTAGAGACTCCTTGAATGAAAACAAATGTTGTTTGGGAAAGAGGAATTGTTCCAGAGTTCAGTCATTCAGACATCAACTATCTGTTTTTGAGCATTGATTATCTATTTGTCTGTTCAGCAAACTTTTTTTGAGCTCTATGGTAGGTGAGATAAAGTGAAGTCATTCCCTGTCTTAGTTGTCTAGTACTACTATAATAGGAATACTCTTAAGTGGGTTTTAACAGATGGAAATTTATTCCGTCATGTTTTAGAAGGCTTGTTGTTGTTATGTGTTAGTTGGAACCAATTCAATCCTCCAGCAGGTCCTCAGAGGCTGTAAATCACATGGAAGGCAACTGCCTATCTTTCTCCCATGGAGCAACTGTTGGATTCTAACTACGTGCATGTTTAGAAGGCTGTTGTTTGTTGTTGAGTTGGAACTGATCCTTAACTGACTTTTCAGAGCATTTTCAGAGACAGTAAATGGCGTGGAGGAAGCTTTCCCATCCTCCCACAGAATATAGCTGGTGGATTTGAACCATGTGCCTTTAGGATTGCAGCACAGCTTCTTACTCCTAGGCTACAAGCACTCAAAATCAGGCACCTGCCTGGCAGTACTACTAGAATATTTTGTTGTGTACCATCAAGTTGGAACCTACCCATAGCTGACCCTCTAGCAGATTGTCAGAGGCTGTCAACTACACTGGAAGAGATTGTCCATTTTATTCCAGTGGAACAGCTAGTGGATTCTAACTGCATGCCTTTGGGATTGCAGTGCAGCTTCCTACCACTAAGGTCACCAGATCTTAGAAATCATATGCCATACTCATTTACCAGAGTTGGTAGTCTTGTGCCACATTCTAACTCTCTTTTACCTCCTACCTGCTCTATGCTAACAAGAGTCACCCTTCCTTTCAATCTACTAACCAGGGCTTTCAAAGCTCCAGGATTTCCCTTTTATTAATGCAGGAGAAGGATGGGCTGTCTCCTCTCATGTGATTAACTGGCTGTGAAAACCCACTTGCAGGTTAGCCATGAGAAAATTCTGACTTGACAGCACAAAACAACAACAAGAAGCTGTTATAATACAAAGACTCAACAATTCAATGGGCTAAAAGGCAATTCCATTTTTCTCACATAAGGCAGTGCAAGTGCATAGATACGCTGTATTCAGTCAAACGTGGACTTGAGTTCATCACGTTTCTCCACCTTTCTCTACCCAGCTGAAGCTATCTTATAGTCCTGTCTCTGCTCACAGGGAGGGAAAAGAGCATAGAGTGCACATGCGCAAGGCTTAACTGTTTAGAACTAGAATGAATACATATCATTTCTGCCCACAGCTCACTGGATACAGCAACACACCTCACTGCAAAGAAGGTTGGATGACATAGTATCTAGCAGGACAGTCTCATCTAGCTACCATTCTAGTATTATGGAAGAGGTCATAATACCTTTTTAAATTTTCTTTATCTCTTTATTGATATTTTAATGAAAGTTTACAGAAAACTTGGATTTCCATTTTCATTGCTGCACATTTTCCTCCTTATCCCCCCAGTTTGCTTTTCTCTTCCCCTCCCCCAGAAAATGCAGATTTTGTTCCAGTGCTGGGGAAAGGGAGGGGTTTACACAGCAATTTTAAAAACTCATCATACTCCTTCACCAGAGAGATATAAACTAATTGCAGGTCATGGTGGGGTCACTAAAGTCACCAGAGTGAAGGCAGGAGGAGAGCGAGTAGAACAGGCCTGCTCAGTCCTTCTTACTCCTGCACAGGGACACACAGGTCTCAGTGGGTGCCCGGCGGAACCACTCTGACCAGGAGCCATCGTAGATGGCCACATCAGCCTTACCACAGAGGTAGGCAGCCAGGGCAATGTGGCAGGCGGTTACACCCTTATGGCAGGTAGCGATGAGGGGCTGAGTGAGGTCTACCTTCTTGGCCTTGAACATAGCCTGGATCTCCTCAGGGCTCTTCTCAAAGCCTTCCTCAGTAAGGAATTCCATAAACGGCATGTTGAGACAACCAGGAATGTGACCTGAGCCTAGGTAGCGCCCCTTGGCCCGTGAATCTACCATCTGGAACCTCTTGGATTTGAGATTCTCCATCATCTGCTCGTAGGTCTTGAGCAGGGAAGGGTCCAGGGTGGCATTGAAGGTGGCTGGCTCCAGGTTTGAGGGCTCAGATGTCACTGGGTGGCCTTCCTTCAGCCAGTTCTGGAAGCCTCCGTTGAGCACTGACACCGTGTGGTGGCCAAACACACGGAACATCCACCAGACCCTGGGTGCAAATAAGCTGCCCAGCTGGTCGACATCATACACCACCACATGTGTGCTGTTGCTGATGCCCAGCTGGCCCACATAGTTGGCAAAGTGCGCCTCACTGGGCAGCATTATCTCGTAGGGTGAAGCCTTGTCCCGGCACTCCTCAATATCAAAGAAGGAGGCGCCAGGCACATGGCACTCCATGTACTCCTTGCGGGCATCTCGGGTACCCGGGGAGTACCATGACACATCAATCACCCGCAAGTCCGGCCCCAGGTTGCCCGCCTGGATGGATTCTGCCAGCCACTTGGTGGAGACCAGAGCAGGGTAGAGCATCTGCTGAGCCATGGTTTCAGCTGAGTGTCAACTGATCACCTCGCCTCCGCACTAGTGCTCGTCTGGCTGACAGAGAAGCTTGCTTTGCTCTTTAAAAAGATTCTTTTGTTGTCTTTCCTATCAGGAAAAAAAAAAGATTTGTTTTGTTTTACTACCCAGAGTAGAGACATGACAATCTAGTTCAACCAATTTAACTAGAACCAGAATTTAATGTAGTCATAAGTTCTTTAGCGTATGTTGTTGTTATTGTTGTTGTTACATACCGTTCTGGAGTTTATCTTTCAATATGACTTTCCTAGCCATGTTGACTTTGCCATGTAGATGGGCAGGAATATGCAAATGGAGTATGTCACCCTATCCACAAGGGGACTGGTTATCTACAGCCCACAAGGAGATTGGCTAGTCTCACCAATCCACAAGGGAATTGGGTAGTCTCGCCATTAAATTGAGCCCAGCAATAGAAGGAAAGACCTCCCTGCCACTGGCAAAAAAGAAAAGAAGCCTCATCTCTAGGAAAATAAAAGCAAGCAAGCAAGAGGACCTACAGAACCAATAACCATAGCAGCCACAGTACAGAAACAAAGAGTTGCCATGAGAGAAAACCAGAGAACAGAAATGTGATGGGACCTTGGAACTAATGCACCATTGAAACCAGAGCTAAGAACATTTGCCCAAGTTTGTTGGACAATTAGGATGAGGGGCCATAATGCACAGGACTGAGAACTTTGTAACACTGGCCTAAAGCTGCAAGGCTAAAGGCTGAGGTGCTGGCATGCACATTTCAGGAGCTGTCTTGATTGTATTCTATTAATCTAGATTATAACCTTTAGACTCCCCAGTATGAGTCTGTGTGGGCTGTGAGCTATTGCATTGGATTTTAGACGCATGAAAACAGTAATATTAAAGTTGAGATGAGCAGAAAAAGGTATAGGCATCTGGGGGAACATGTCTGACCTCATGGGAATTGGTTATTAATGCTGTTGAGAGGGACAGTGCCCTTTGTGAAGTTGGTAAAGGTCAGACATAGTCATACCCACATGGCCCTTGTTCTTTTTACAACCATCAAACTGGAACCGACTCACAGCTGACCTTCTAGATGGTTTTCAGAGGCTGTAAATCACATAGAAAGAGATTGTCCATCTTTCTTTCCTGGAGCAGCTGATGGATTTGAACCACCTATCTTCAGATTAGCAGTACAACTCTACCACTATGCCATCAGAGCTCCCTCTTTAATGCATAGCACATACTTTTTCCTTAGGCATTATTTCTCACAGCATAGTACACAGATCTTGGGTAGTCCAGGGGCATCGATTACCTCCAGAAACCTAGCAAATGACAGAGAGAAAGTAATTTTTTAAATAAAAGAAGGGAGCTCTGGTGGCCTAGTGGCAAGAAGCAATGCTGCAATCCCAAAGGCGTGTGATCCGAATCCACTAGATGTTCCGCTAGAGAAGGAGGAATAATCTCTTCCTGTGCCAGTCAGATCCAATTCGATGGTACACAAGAAGGGGGGAGGGAAGACAATAAAAGCATTCCTTCCACATATTTGAGATGTAAGGCTAATTATCATTTCTCACAGCAAACACACTATATTTTTTAATAATTCCTATGTTCTTAAAAGTTAGGCATGCATTATGAGAACTGTGTTTGTCACTGTCAGCATTCGTTTATCAAGGTATATAGTTTCTCTCTCTTAACTTCTATTTGGGCTTTTTTGCATCTGATTCCTTATGCTTGTTACAAGGACATGGCAGATTATGACATTATGTCCCCAAAGTAACCACTCAAAACTGGTCCCTTAATATCAAAGTAGCAATAAAAATAGGTAAATTCATGAAACAACATATGAGCAAGAACCTGTGTGATGAAGGAAGACATTCAAGCTGCTCTCAAAGAATTGGCAAACAATAAAGCTGCAGGAATTGGTAGCATACCAATTGACATATTTCAACAGATGCTGCCCTAGATGCGCTCACCAAGTTGTGCCAAGAAATTTGGAGGACAACCACGTGGTCAACTGACTGGAAGACATCTATATTTGTTCCCATTACAAAGAAACCTAGCAAAGTGCAAAAATTATTGAAAAATATCATTAATATCACATTCAAGCAAGATTCTGCTGAAAATTATTAAAAAACGACTGGAACAGCACATCAGCAGGGAACTGCCAAATGTGCAGGCTGGTTTTAGAAGAGGTCGTGGTACTAGAGATATCTTAGCTAATGTTAGATGGATCTTGGCTGTAAGCAGGAGAAATGACTATCTGTATTTCATTGACTATGCAAAGACATTTAACTGTGTGGATCACAACAAACTGTGACTAACTCTGAAAAGGATGAGAATTCCAGAACACTTGATTGTGCTTATGTGAAACCTATAATAGGACCAGGAGACAGTCGTCAGAGCAGAGCAAGGAAACTTTGCATGTTTCAAAATCGAGAAGGGTGTATGCCAAGGATGTGTCCTATCCCCATACCTTTTCAATCTATATGCAGAACAGATCATGTGAGAGGCTGGGCTCTATGAGGAGGATTGGGGTATCAGGATTCAAGAAAGACTCATAAAGAACATCCATTGGGCAGATGGCACAAGCCTGCTTGCTGAAACTAAGGAGGACCTGCAGTGCTTGCTGCAGAAGGTCAAGGAGTGCAGCTTTCAGTATGGATTGAAGCTCAACATCAAGAAAACAAAGATTCTCACCACTGGGTCGATGACAGCATCATGATAGATGGTGAAGAGATTGAGATTGTTAACAGCTTTTGTTTTCTTGGCTCCACATCAACACTATTGGTACCAGCAGCCAGAAGATTAAGAGACAAATTGTGCTGGAAAGTCTGCTCTCATGGACCACTCCAGAATACTGATGAAAAAATGTCAGTCTGGAGACTAAAGTGTTCCTGGCCATAGTCTTTGCAATTACTTGCTATGCATCAGAAAGGTGGACAATGACTAGCGATCATAGAAGGATAATTGATGTCTTTAAGCTGTGGTGCTGGAGAAGAGTATTGAATATACCATGGACTGCTAAGAGAAATAACAGATTCATCCTGGAGAGAGTGAAACCAGGCTGTTCCTTGGAGGAAAGCATTCTGAAGCTTCGTCAAACATACTTTGGTCATGTTGCAAGGAAGGACCAGTCAGTCCTTGGAGAGGGACGTCATGCTTGTGAGGGTGGAGGGACGGCACAGGAGAGGAAGACCCTCAATGAGATGGATTGACTCAGTGACAGGGGTAATGGAGGTAGGTGAGGCAAAGACAATAAAGTTGGCTCAGATTCGAGCAGGGTTCAAAGCTTTTGTACACAGAGTCACTATGAGTTGCAAGCAACTTGATGGCACATAACAACAACAAATGTGACAAGCTCAAAAAATCATAAAAAGTGTACAGGATGCTAGTACAATCTGTGAATCTACATGCACTCAAACAAATGCATTTGCTGTTGACAGTATCACACCAAGAAATGTGAATATGAAGAACATAAATATCTAAAACTCTGATTTTAGACCAGCCATCCCTTTGCTGCTCATTTTCGTCTGCTATTTGTAACAAAATGTTTCAAAGAGTACAATGAAGTTATGAAAGTTTTCACATCCTTATTAAACAAAGTACAGTGAATCTTGTGGTAAATAAATTGATTTTTCAAAGCATACACATAAAGCAATTATTTGCTGTATGAAACTGATGAGCATTGTGACTAAGTCGGAGAAGGAACAAAATCTATAGGACTATCATTCAAAGTTGTAGATCTCTTGACAAAACATGTACAAGTCACTTATTGCCAAGAAACTTGTAAAACAAACAACAGCATTAATGACAAAATAACTTACAGAAAGTGGAAAGAACTATTGGCCAAATTCCTGTAACAAATACCACCATCTCACATCCATAATATCCTTGGCATACCATAATAGCCCTAGAAGCAAAATTATGATCGCATGTGGAGGCCAAGATAAAACAGTCTTATACATGGAAGAAGTGCTCTCCAACTCTTTATTTTTATTTTATATCAGTTTGCTTACAAAGTTTGTATACATTGTGTTTTCTTCATTCATATTGTGTTTCATACAATCATTCCCATGAATTATGGTTTGGGGTGTTTTTTTAATTATTTTAATGAAAGTTTACAGCAACTTTGGATCTCCATTCATAAATTGTTGCACATTTTCTTCCCTTCCAATCCCTCCCCCCAGTTTGCTTTTCTCTTTAAACAGAAAAAAAATTCTTTTATTGTTATACAATCCTCTCCCCCAGTCCACTTCACTAACTATGCAGCTCTTATTCTGGACTCTTGTCATGAAAATAATACCTAATAGTATATTTCTTTTAAATAGTTATCTCCCTCATATGTTTCAATTCAGTATACATTATTTACCCCCTCTTTTCTTAGGTTCTCCCAATCCCAAAATGAGTCTCATTTTACAACAATGGCACAAGGCAGTATTTGTCCTTTTGTGACTAAGATATTTCACTTAGCATAATGTCCTCCAGAGTCACCCATTTGTTATAATATTTCATGAGTTCCTTGTTTTTCAATGCAACATAGTATTCCATTGTGTGAACATACCACAGCTTCTCTATCCATTCGATTGTTGATGGGCACTTGGGTTGTTTCCAACTCTTAGCTAGTGTGAACAAAGCAGTAATAAACATGGGTGTGCATATATCTGCCTGAGTGGCAGTTCCGGTTACTTTAAGGTATATTCCCAATAGTGGAATTTCTGGGTCAAATGGTATTTCTATTTGCAACTTTTTGAGAAAATGCCATACTGCCTCCCATAGTAGTTGCACCATTTTACACTCCCACCAACAGTGAGTAAGGGTTCCAGTTTCTCCATAACCTTATCAGCAACTGTTGTTTGCTGCTCTGTTGAATTTTGCTATTCTTACTGGAGTGAGATGATATCTCATAATTGGTTTGATTTGCATCTATCTTAGAGCTAGGGATTTTGATCACTTCTTCATAGATTTGTTCACGATCTGAATGACTTCTTTGGTGAAGTGTCTGTTCATAT